CAAAACAGAGCACACCTGAGAAAAATGCTGCTACCAAAATTTTGTGCTTCTCTCCGTTCTTTTGTTTCTAAAATTCCTTTAAAGCTTTTGTTATTTTGTGTGGAAATTTATGATCCCACTTCTGACACCATTCTGTTAAGAGAAGCTTTTTCTTTGAGAGAAGCCTTTCTGTCCGCCTGGTTTTAGAGCCGCTTTCCCGCCAGCCTGGTTTTAGAGCCGTATCAGTCCCAAGTAAACACACAGGAGGCTATATGAATTATGAAGCTGTTGGCCTTGCTTGTTTCTAACTGGCTAGCTCTGACTTAAGTAATTACCCCATAATTGTTAATCTAAGTATGCTTCTTACCGGAGAGGTTTTAGGCTTCCTACCCCAATGGTGGTTACATCTCGAACTCTCCTGTGTTTCTCCTACCCAGAGTTCTCCTGGACTCCTAGTCCCTCCTATCTAGGTTTCCTATAGGCTCAACAGTACTTTATTGACAAATGCACAGGACTTCCCCCAACACACATGTGTTGGGGAAGTCCTGTGTATATGTCAATAAAGCACTGCTGGCCAATAGGAATCTAGATAGGTGGGGCTAGGAATCCAGGAGGATTCTGGGAAGGAGAAACAGAGGAGAGTCAACATGTAACCGCCATGGGGTAGGAGCCTGGAACTATTCTCTGGTAAGAGACATACTTAGATTAACAATTATGGGGTAATTACTTAAAGCAGAGCTAGCCAGTAAGAGACAAGCAAGGCCAACAGCTTCATAATTAATACAGCGTCTTGTGTGTTTATTTGGGGACTACAAAGCGGCAGAGCCCAGGCGACTGGTGGGGGATAAACCAAAGCGGCTAGCAAAGAAAAAGCTTCACGTAACACACATGTATTTCAAGTCCAAATGTGCAGCCCATATATTCTCTGGAGCAAGGTCAAACCTCCAGTGGCCAGCCCCTTAAAGAAAACCAAGCTCTTCCCCAACCACATCCCTGTGGGAAGCCATCCACTGTGAAGATTCACACTTCAGCATCCTTATCACAATTTTCAAGAGTTCTCTTCAATGGCTTCCAGTCTAGACTATTCCTTTTGGGGGAGGGGTTAGTGTGCTATCCCAGAAGCCTTCTGTGTCTCTTATTGTCAACTGAATCTTCAGTCATCAATGCCACTGCAAAAGAAGCTTCCTTGATCTTTATAGCCAGTGGGAGCACAGATCATATCTGGTGACAGCTTGGACCATAGACATCCGTATGCCCTCAAGCCTCAGCGTGGACTATGGACCTTGGTATGGTGTCCTATGTCAGTACAGACCACATACATCCACATGACTCTCAGCTGAAGTATGCACCATGGACACCATTATGATCCTGTCTGGCAGTCCAGGCCACAAACATCAATATGGCCTCAGGCAGAAGCCTAGGTGAGGACATCCATTTGTCCTCTGACAGGAAAATGGACCACAAACAACAACATGGTCTCAGGCAACAGCACAGGCCACAGACACCAACATGGACTCTAGCAGCAACAGGGACCACGGGTATCAGCACGCATCTTCACCATTACCACCAATGATGTCAGCATGGCCTCCTGCTTGGCACAGACCACGTATATCAACACAGTATCTAGGGGCAGCATAGACCATGGAGATCTTCCAAGAAGGCCCAGGTGAGAAAACGAACCATTCTCCGTCTCAGACATCCTGTCGTTGCACAGAGCCAGAGAAAATGGTGGGGCTGGGCAGTGTGTTCAGACAGACTCCAGGTTGCTGCACGGCACCCTATCCACCCTACCCAGCAACAACAAGCTCCCGTCTCCACCCCAGCCTTCTCTTACACCTGTCACCACTGTGGTGACTCTCGTTCCACCTGTCTCCACAGCAAACAGGCCACTCTGTTCCAATACCTTTCCCACCTCGTCACCGCACATTGGTTCATTGGAATGGTTCATCAGTGTGTCACTATATATACGTGCAAATAGTCATTGCAGCAAATCATTGGTGTGATTCAAACTTTCTGGTTTCTGAAACCCCATAAATACTGGATCATTGCTTGGACGTTCTCAGGTATCCTACTGCTGCCAAGAATCAGGATGATCTTGCTGTTAGGCAGTGTGCCTGCTGGCAGGATCCCTGTGAGCTCCAATCCACCACACACCTCCCTGCCCTTGGTGTCACGGTGCATTGTTGTACTTGCAACCCACTGGCAGTGACTGGGTCCCATACTCTCCTCCTCCCAGCAGGGTGAGCAACATGGCCGGTAGCAGCGGTGACTCCATGGCAAGAGCCAGCCCAAGAGCATAGGGCAGGTCCTATTCAGTAGCAACATGCTCTTGGCTGTGGCTATGCCCTCACGCTGCTCATACCCTTGAGGGTAGTGACTCTAGTTTCACCATGCTCTGCCTCAGGTGTGGTTCTGCTAAGTCATCTTTCCTTCCAGTTTTAAAAAGCGTCTTCCCATAAGACCTGATATTTTTTAGTTGTTCTGGAGACACTGTGGGCTCTACAAACTCTTCTGCTACCACAACATCTCTCCTCAGAGCCTCCATGAATCTCTCAGGTTCCTCGGAGTTGCTCCGTGGGGGCTGTTGCCATCTTAAGTCCCACTTGGAAAAAGCCATTTATATGAATACCGTGATACCTAGGAAAACATTTCTTGAATAGTCAAAACTGGTGAGACTGTCTTTGACATTCTTAGAGAAATACTGTATTCAGGATAAAAGATGCTTGTATACTATACCCATGATCCAGCCTCTTATTCAGCTCACCCCCTTTTTTTCATATTTTTCTTTTGGTTTCTGTGACCGAGAACAGATTAAACGATTCAAATCTTCGCACAGATACATTTCTCAGTCATTCAGCTGTTTCTGCTTCAGAACCTTGCTGTGGAACAATCTTTCTATACTACAAATATGTGTTGCTCTCACTGTTAATAAAAAGCTGATGGCTAGTCAGGATTTGGGGGACAGAAAGAATGCTGTGAAAGAGGGTGGAGTCAGAGGAGTAGGGACATCTACAAGTCATGAGCTGCATTAATTAAATGGGTTAGTTTAATAGAAATGGGTTAGTTTAAGTTATAAGAGCTAGTTAAAAACAAGCCTAAGCTATCAGCTGAGCATTTATAGTTAATATTAAGTCTCTTTGTGGTTATTTTGGAGAGACTGCTAGGACACAGAAAAACCCAGCTTACAGATCCTGTCAAAGGAGCTTTCACCCAAGAGCTCCTTTGGGCACCAAGACCACCGTCCCTGGTTGCCACAACCAATCATGAGACCCTCACCCACATCTGCGTTAGTCCCTCCAGTCCCAGTGACCCCAAAGCTGACTGGACTCAGAGGTGCCTCTAATGCAGCTCTCACCAGTCAAGACCTACCTGCCTCTTCCCTGTCGGGACCTGCAGTGCTCAGTTTTGAAAACACTTTCAAATCTGTACGAAAGTAAAAGTATTATTGGAAATAGAACTTCAAAATGTTAACAGTTGGTATTTCTAAATTATACAACTGTATTTTCTTTTCTCTTTATAATTAACTATTTTCTCTGCAGTTGTGTGTTTGTATCTCCATTGAGTGATTGTCCTACTACGTTATAATGTCACATGTGACTGGACTGAATGATTCTTCCTTCAAAAAAGATCAGGGAGGCTAAGCCAACACACAAAGTCTTAAGTTGTTAAGCCACCCCCAGAACCTTCTCAGTAAGGACAGTGGCAATGATGGATCAGCAGCTGACACCCTGTGCCTCAGGGGGGTTTGATTTAAGGCTCTGGAGATGGGTGATGTGCCTAGCTTCTGCAGGTAGAGCAGTCATGCCTGATCTAATCCTTCCTTCATGAGTATTGGGAAACATAGAAAGCCATCAAATTACTGGACCCAGGATTCTATTTCATAGTACCGTCAGTTTCCGATGCATCTTTTAATTCTGGGATATTAGGCTGCTACAGAGTGCCTTTGATTTAATTAAACATGATTGTTAAATATAAAACATTTTTTAAAGCTCAAAGTAACCATATCCCTGTGTTAGGGTTACTACTGCCGTGATGAACACCAAGAACAAAGAAACTTGGGGATAAATGGATTTATTTGATTTAAATTTCCACATTATTGTTTCTTGATGAAGGAAGTCAGAACAGGAACTCCAAAGAGACAGGAACCTGGAGGCAGGAGCTGATACAGAGGCCAGGAACGGGCGTTTCTCATGTTCTTTTCCCCTTCCTCCTGTAGAACTCAGAACTGCCAGCCCAGGGATGGCATCACTCACAATGGGCTGGGTCCTCCCATATCAATCACCACTTAAGGAAATGCCCACAGGCTTTTGTACAGCCTGATCTTATGGAGGCATTTTCTTAATTGATGTTCCCTCCTCTCAGATAATTTTAGCTACCCAACACAGTCCCTCTATGATATAGTGGACATACAAATCTGCTTGATGCTCCCAGTCTTAATAGTCTCTTTTTTTCTTAAGAGAAGTATGTGAGACTCTTGTGTTCTTTAGAAGAGAGCTTTTGACCAATAACTTTAGAACTCTGAGACAATAGCTTATTTCCTGTGTGTTATGCAGAACTGAACAGCAATCCAAAGCCCAATGAAACTATTGATTTTGCACTGGAAGAAGAATATCCTCTCAATTGGTGATGGGCAGCATCAAAGACAGCTTTGAAAGCAGGTCTATAAAGTGCGTTACCTGAATTATCCACCACATCCTGCTCCGAGATCCATATCTTTCATGTATTCCTCACACTCTTATTACACAGAACCTTAATTTGGTCACTGTTGACCCCAGTTCTTCCTGCCTTGGATGACTTTGGGGAAGGGTTGTAGCGTCATCAGATTCATGTCAAGACAGGTATCCTGAGCATATATAGGGCTATGGAGCAACAGAAACTCTCATTCCTTTCTTGGGGGGGGATGCAAAATCCTAAAGCTTCTTTGAAATGGGTTTTGGTAGTAACTTATTTAAAAAAAAAGTGGGGTCTGGGATTCAGGTGTCTTGGTATTCACTCAAAGGAATTGGAAACACAGGCCCACATAAAAACCTTCATAACAATATTTTTTATTGGAGCCTTATTCATAACTGACAAAACTTGGAAGCAACAAAAGTGTCATTCCATAAGTAGATGGATAATCCAACAGCAGCAGGAGATAACTGTTAATTCTAAAGACGTTTAGGACAAACTAAGCTATTACAATTTTTCCTACTATTTCTTACCCTCTGACAGAACTTGACATTACCATACATTAAGAGAAAAATACTTGACTGTGTGGAAGAGGTGGAGATTAATATAAACACAATGTACGCTCTGGAAGCCACTTCAGAGAGAAGTACATGTTCTTCTTTCTGTTCCAAGTGTTTCATTAAGATACACTATTTAATACTTCTAATTAAGAACTGGTGAACTGATCTATTAAGCTCTTTATTCCTAGCTATTACCAACTGGGAAGAATGCTATGGGAATGGCATCTACAGAAAGGGGTGAGTTTGCAGCTGCCTACACCCCGGTTTCAGAGCTGGACGCAGGACTGGTTCATTTAAGAAAGCAACTTGAAGAGATTGGGAAGCTGAAATCAGACCAAAATGAGTCATGGAGCCAGTTGGAGATAACAGGGTGAATTTGTCCAGTGTAAACTGTTTTGATAAGCCTTTTCCAGTTGAAGGGGAGCAGGGAAGGCAAACAGTTTAAGTGTGTGGAGAGCAGACTGGAGAGGGATTATTTTTTTTAGGATAAGGAATGTAAAATTGTTTTTAGAAGGAAGGGGAAGAGCCAACAGAAGACAGAGGTCTGAGGTGAGAGAAGTGGATATAATTGAGAATGAAAGTTCTCAGAACAGACAGGAAGAGGGTGGGAATCCAATGTGCAAAGGGAGGGGCTTATCTCTGGACACATGTGAGACAGGGTGACAAGAGAAAAGAAAGGCTTAAGTCCACACAGATACGGAAAGGAGCCAGTTTGAAAGAAGTCTCGCTTGATGGTATTTTCTTCTTTAAATTGGAGAGTTGGCCAACTATTAAGTGTCAGAGAAGCTGTGGTTAGACCAATCGAAGTTAAACCAAAAAGGGTGCAACTGATATAGGACGGGAAACGAGGCTGATAAAGGCAAACTTCACCATGTAGAAGTGCAGAGAGAAGATACAAACTGGTAAAGACCTTGTAGGACTGCGCTGAACATTTCCAATTTCCCACTTCTTTTTTTTAGACGAGTGTAGTGCTGAGTTCCAACTCAAAAGTGCTGCTGGGTAATAGACCTTTCTTCATGACCATGAGACTTCAGTGATGAACTTGTTTCAAGAGGATGCCAAGTGCGGCTGAAAGCAACTGGAATTGGAAATAGAGCTGTGTCTTCTGGCTGTGGTATTTGCAGCAGGCTCCTGAGTATGCTAAGAAAGCCATCTGAAGCTCAGTTTTGAAAACTAGAAGGGGAAGGTAGGATTAAACGAGACACACTCTTCTTCCGATGATTGTTCTATTGTCTTTATCGCTGCTGTAGTCGAGTCTACAGTCTAGCAGGAGGTTTCCAGTAGACTGTACCTTTGAAGTTGATCTCAGTGCTACCTGCTACCCCATCCGACCTTTCCACTGCACTGCACAATACCCCACCTGACATTCCCGCACACGTTTGCCATCTTCTTCCATCAAGAATTGTAGCCCATGTTCTTGAAATGCAAAAGGCTTCCAGCACTGTTGAACGTACGTCAAACAAATCTTGGCAGAAGTGACATTGGATATCCTTTCAGGCAAGGACATAGAAGAAGACTTGGCTTCACTTTTGTCCCATTCTGAAGTCTTGACCTGTGGTGAGACTCAACACACAGCTTTGGGATTATTGCACTCTGAGGAGTGCCTCATTTCCTCATGTTATGAGACTGAAAAGAAAAGCTGTGCAACCCTACAAGAAGAGAGAAAAGCTTAGATGGACCCTACGTGCTACAACTCTACCTTCTTGGAGACACGTCTGCCAAGTCACACTACTAATGTGTTCCTAACAAGTACAAATCATGAGAAACAATAACACTGTGGTGGATTTAACATGCTAACTTTATGGAGATTTGTTTTCTTGCACCAGTAACTGACCCGATAATTTTTTTTCTAGCCCTTCTCAGATTTCTTTTTTTTTAAAGTTCCCCTAATCAGTAGATATATTACATTTACTGTCATATTACATTTACTAGGAAAGTTATATTTAATTTCAAGCGTTGACATTTCCCCCGCTCATATTTATGACTGGAAATACCCTTTCCTTGATCTGTAGGGTTATAATTCTCACTTCTTTTTTAATCTTCTTTATTTCCAGCTCCTCGGGGAGACATGAATCTGAATTTTGTAAAGGAGATCTACAGCCAAGGAGTGGCACGTGACTTTCTGGATCAGTCAATCACTAGAGTCAGTCACGTCTTCTTTTAGTATCAGTTTATTTGAAACTACTTTATTACAAAACAAAACAAAACAGACAAAACAAACTGCATCCTCCAAATACTTCAATGGATCTACATTTGGAGTTAACCCCAGATTTCTGTATATTGCCTACTTCTATTCACATCATTGCTTTGATCCTTGTACACACAGCTAATTCGTCACATATTTTACAATACGATTATTGGTTTTACCATTTATGAAAATGTGCTTCTTATTATATTAATTTACAGTTTTGCCTCTCATCTCATGGTCAAACCTCCTCAAACATCTCGTCTCTATGTTTCTTTTTGAGCCAAGCTGATGATGGTAACAATGACTCTGGGAATCTTCTTCCTCTTTTCTTTGCTCTTTGAAAAGGGATTGCCATGTGCCTGCTTTCCAGTTTTGCTTGGTACCAAAATAATGAAATACATCTTACCGTCTTTTGTTATTATAAAATTCATTGTCTCAATTTGTAAGTTGGCCGTGGGAAGTGTGTATTATCAAGGAAAAGAAACAAGCCCCCTTTCCTCATTTTCCTTCTGGTATAGCCATGAGTCCTTCTGGAAAGTGGTTGGGAGATAAACTTTCAAGATGATGGAGTCATCCTTCCAAGACCACACCTTCTCTTTCTCCCAATTTTCAACAGTGGCACCCTTTCCAGGTCTCAGCAGTCTTGTGGTTTCTTTCCTAGAACTGCAGCAAATTTTGCTCTTAACCCTTAATTTGCACTGATGTATAAAGGATTATCAATGACACATTTGTTGGTCATAGTTTGAAGGACTGAACCTTAAGTTTTACTTGTGCTGTGCAATCCTCAACCCCAAGCTGCAGCAGCACCATGGAATACATTTTCAAAAGCTTTTCCACCCACTGAAAGATGGCAAAGCATTCATTTCTTTAGCCTTGATATCACTGTGAAGTGGCATCAGATCTTGCCTCTTCCATAATTCTCCAAGATTAACACTGGATCGAATAATTACATTATTTCTAACTCAAATGTGTGCATCTCCTGACATTGCTTTTATGTAACCTCGTTTGTACTCAGATTTGGAACTAAGTTGTTTGCTAATGAGAGGGGAAAAAAGTATTTGGTATCCTCAACCAATTCTTACCAGTAGTGGCAACACACCTGTAATCCCAGCACTCAAGATAGATGCAGAGGGGTCAGGAGATCCGTGGGGTTCAAAGGTGCAAACTGAAGCCTTAGCTACAGGGCGCATCTCGTGTCACGCTCTTCCTCTACTGCACACAGCCAAATAAACTGCCAACAATCCAAAACAAATAAACACATACCCCTGTATGCATGTTTCTTCATGTCAGTCTGTGAGACTCTCTTACTACAGAAAAAACACTGCATAACTGATGTGCAAAATCTGATTGCAGAGTTCGGTGGTCATCTTATGCCTCCCCTGTGAAACCTGGCAGTGAGAACACTAGGGAGAATGAGAAGAAATGGATTTTCATTCTGCATATAAATGAGATCATTTTATCTATAGCCAGCGGATCCCTGAGAAGACGACAGGAAAGGAGTGTCTTTGACAGTAGTCCATTCTTAGAAAGCGTAAAGAAGGTAAATGATGCTGTGGATTTGCTCTCTGATCCTGAGAGTTCTTTGCCTGGTGTGGCGGCGCACAGCTTTATTTTCAGAATTTTGGCTGCATGGGCAGGAAGATCTCTGTGAATTCAAACCCAGCCTGATCTACATGGTGAATTCCAGGCAAGCCAGTCTTATCAGGTTGCTAGAATGCCCCATGCTGACATTCTGCCCTGTGACCCTTTATAAGCCCAGCATAAATTCATGAACAAAAAAACTTCAATTACCTTGGTAGCTATACATGTAGTATAAGGGTTTCCAGGACACTATTGAAATGAACACTATTTTCTCTCCACCATTGATTCTAGGGCATACTAAGGAAGTTGCTGATAATTAGGTGGTTGGTGGTAAGAAACATTTCTTGTTTACTGCACTAAGCATTTGGAGACTCCAGCAAGAATTTGTATAAACATTTCATATGCCACAAAAGCTTAACAAGTACTGGTCAAATAAATACCACTGTCTGATCCATCTTCTACCCATCTCAGCTGTATGACCTCTCTCATCTACAATATGTTGGTAATAATAGCTTCTGTCCATTAGGGTGGATTCAATGCATTAACATGGGCAAAGTTCTTAAGAACGCGCCACATATATTAATAGCAAGCACTGCCTTTAGTCACCCACTTCTCCCCAGCATGCCCAAAGATAGTGCCCACACTCTCTGCTACACCACTAGCCTATAATTAGAGCAATGCTTCCCAGCCTTGGCTTTATATGGGAAACCTTGGAAGGCTTTAAAAATGTCTGTGCCTGGATTCCCATCCTTAATGAGTTAGGCATAATTGATGAGTGGTTTCACTAGAACACAGAGCTTTCAAACCCACCTGTGTATCCCCAGGTACCTGAATGAAGGTTCAGCTCCCAGGCAATTTCCCAGCCATCCTTCGGAGTTACCAATAAGCTTGAGTCAGTCTCTTCATACTCATAACTCCTTTGATGCTAGATGAAACCTAGAAAGGTAATATCTTCATAATCTCAAAAACTTTAGGCCTGTATCAAGACCCTTGTGGTGTGTGGGCTGTTGAATCTGTTCCTGTTGCTTCAGCATTAATTTGGGGCAATATGAATATGCTGATTAATTGTGAATTCCATACACACACTTTAGAAGTGGTGACTGAAATAGTTTTAGACCTCCATAGCAGGAATTATTGCTTTGACTTAATACCAGGGAATGGTGAATGCTGTCTGAATAGCCATTTGTTTTACTGTGAGAATTCCTTCAGCATGAAGTCGGGACTGACAAGATGAAAAATGGCTGTGTGATTCATTTTCAGTCCTGGGCTTCTAGAAGCACTTAGATATTTTGAAACGTTCCCCCTGTATCATGTAATTGTACTAAGTCGGGGCTGAAAGGATCCCAAACATCTGAGTTTGATCCCAGGGCTAAGAAATCATACTTTATTTTCCTTTTCACAATGCACTAATGCTCTGGAAATAAGCATTGCTAAGAAGCATTAAATGTGATTAACTGACAATTTTGAACCTCTCAGACTCCATTACAGATAGCTTCCAAAAGCAAGTGGGGTGTACATGTGCTTCCCACAGGCCACTCACACCAGTTGTATCAAATGAACAAGGTACCCTTAGACTCTTGGGGAACACTTCTAAGCACAGGCCTTTTGATGCCAGTTATTAAAGTCTTTTGTTCTTTCAATACATTTTAAAATAACTCCCAAGAAATGACTGACTCTGACTCATAGTCAGGGGATCTGGCCAGTGGAACTTCTCAGCATGCAGTACTTCCCGAGGTATGCGGAGGCTGTTGGAGCACGTCAATGTATGCAGTCTGGAAGCGGCAAGGAAAAGTCAGGTGGTAAACACACATCACCCCATGTAGGAAACACGAGCCCACTCTCACCAGAGGCTTCCTGGCAAGAAAGAAGCCGTAGCAAGGCCGTTAAGGAACAACAGACCCTCGACGTAATGCATAAACAGTGGTGCCAGGTCTACAAAAATAACCTCTCTGAAACAGCTTCTGCTTGCTTTTAGTGAAGAGGAGGGAGCCTCCAACTTTCAGATGACTGACTCAACATCAGATTTCATTTTCAGTAAGAGTGAAAAATAGAGTCACTCAATAAATATTCCTTACTGCAGAAAGACTTTTTAGAGGTGTGTGTGCGTGTGTGTGTGTGTGTGTGTGTGTGTGTGTGCATGTACATGCACAAGTGCATGGACCTGCATGCACTAGCCATGCCCATAGAGACAGAAAGAGGGCATTGGCAGCCCTGCAGCTAGTTACCGAGCCACCCAGTGTACTTACTGGGAACTAAACTCAAATCCTCTGGAAGGACAGCAAGCACACTTCTATTTTTTTTCAATAGGCTCTTTTCTCATATACTATATCCTGATTAAAGTTTCCCCGCCCCGATCCACTTTCTGTCTCTCATTAGAAAAGAACAGGCTTCCAAGAGACAACAACCAAACATGACAAATTACAGTAGGATGAAGCGAAACTTTCATATTGAAGTTGGACATTACATCCCAACATGAGGAAAAGAATCCCAAAAGCAGGCACAAGAATCAGAGACCTGACAATTTTCTTTTTTTTTTTTTCATTTAGAAACAATCTTAGTTTACAGTATCAATCTCCTTGTTCCCTCTCCCTCCCATCGTTCCATGTCCCCCACCGACCCTCCAACACACCTCCCACCCACTCCCCAAGGATAGTGAGGCCTCCCATGAGGGATCACCAAAGTCTGTCACATCATTTTGGGGAGGGCCTAGGCCCTCCTCCGTGTATCTGGGCTGAAATAGTATCCATCCATGGGGAATGGAGACCCACTCATTTTCAGGAGTTCCATTAAAAATACTAAGCTTCTTGGACCTGGAGAAGATCTGTGTAGACCCTGTGCTTTCTGCTTCAGTCTCTGTAAGCTCATACATACCCTGCTTAGTGGATTTGGAGGGTTATGCTCTCCTAGTGTCCTCCATTCCCTCTGGCTCTCACTATATTTCTGCCTCCTCTTCTATGGGACTCCCTGAGCTCTGAGGGAAGGGTTTGATGGAGACCTCCAATTTAGACTCTCTCTTTGCATATTGTTCATCTGTGGATCTCTTCAACTGTTCCCATCTGCTGCCAGAGGAAGCATCTCAGATGATGCCTGGATAAGGCACTGACCTGTTAGTATAGCAGAATACCCTTAAATCATTTTGTTGTGTTTGTTTGTTTGTTTAGACCAGTCATGTTTGAGTTTACCCTAAATCTCTGGGTTATCTAGTCTCTGGTTCTTGGTTACCCAAGCAGTGTTGGATATGGGTTCCTTCTTGTGGAGTGGGCCTTAAGTCAAATCAGATATTGTTTGGCTATGAGTTCTGTGCCACATTGCCCTAGCAAATTTTGCAGGCAGGACAGATTGTAGGTCAAAGGTTTTATGACTGGGTTGGTATCCACACTTCTTTTCCAGTAGCCTGCATGCATGGGGAGTATCTTTCCATACCAAAGAGATTAGAATGTAAGGGTGAAGACTCCATATGGGCACCAGCTCAACTTCTTCATGTTCAGTGAGCTGTGTGGATTCTGTCCTTGGCAATGGAGCCCCACTGTCAGTTTGCAGAGAACAACCCTTTGTCTTAGCATCGTCCTGGGCTATTCGTATGTTTCCATGAGACCGCCAACAACTCAATTGAATGCAACCCAGTCCTGCTACATAAGCCTTGCCCTGCTAAAAGAGTTGGCCAGTTGAGACTTCAGATTCCCAATTACTTGAAGTCCTCACTAGGATCACCTTCATAGATTATAGAAGTCTCAGCTGCACTAGGTTTCCATACCACTCTCATATGCCCCCAATTCTAGCCTTCTCTTTTCACACTCTCACCTTCCATCCCATCCTCCCATCCTGATCCTTCCCACTCTTGTTCCCACCTGCCCCCACTCCACCTGTAAAATCTATTCTATTTCCCGTTCCCAGAAAGCTCCATGTATACCCTGCTCCAGACCCTTCCTCTTAAAACTAATCTCACTTGTTCTACAGATTGAAGCTTGATTACCATTTACTTAACAGCTAATATCCACTTATAAATGAAAACATGCTGTATTTGTCTTTCTGAGTCTGGGTTACCTCACTCGGATGCCATTTGCTTGCAAAATTCATGACGTCATTTTCTTAGCATCTGAGTAATACTCCATTGTGTAAATGTACCACATTTTTGTTTATAGCATTCTTCTGTTGTTTATGCATTCTTCTAGGCTGTTTCCAATTTCTGGCTATTATGAATGATCATATTTGGACAAGTTTCTTTGTGGTAGGATGAAACATTCATTAGGTATATGCCCAAAAGTGGTATTGCTGGGTTTTGAGGTAGATTGACTCCCAACTCTCTAAGAAACCACCATACTGATTTCCATAGTAAGCTGTACAGGTTTGCACTTCCACCAGCAATGGAGGAGTGTTCCCCTTGCTCCACATCCTCTCCAATAAGAGCTGTTACTTTGTAGTTTTTATCTTAGCCATTCTGACATGTGCAAGATAGAATCTCGTAGTAGTTTTGATCTGCATTTCCTTGACTGCTAATGATGTTGAACATTTCTTTAAGCTATTTAAGAATTCTCTATTGAGAACTCCTTGATAGATTTGTATCCCATTTTTAATTGGCTTATTTGTCATTGTTTGGGGTTTTTTGGCAGCATCTTCAACAAATGGTGCTGGCCATGCTGTATGTCTCCATGT